ATTTTGTTGGTAATTATCTGGGAGTCAAATTACTACATATACATATGAGGACGTATTAAACATTTTGAGTATGCAGATTTTTTATGTTGGTATATTCATTTATGCTAAATATATTACTTGATTTTGTTTTGTCACACTTAAGAAGTAAACGTCTTGGCTGTTCACCCAACTGGTCTATAGTTTTATCAATAATCTCAGATTGGTTCTGTGATACAAAACTTTCGTTGTACGCTTAGAAAAGACACATACCTAAAGACATAGTAATAAACAATTGAACTATTTTTGCTCATTGTCGACTGCAGCCAGGTTTTTACCCTTTTTAAATGGAAGTGCTTTGAACATAGAGCGAATAACTTGATACAGAACCGGATGATCCACATATCCACTTTTTAAATCAATTTACTAATTATTTTGTTAGCGTTGGGAGTATAATTTGTTATTCAATATATATATAGGAAAAACCGTGAAAGTTAGGGGGGGCCGAAATCATCAAGCAAGCATTTAGTGGTACTATTTTTGAATATCTAGGCAAAAATTTGGAAGTTAGGGGGGGGAAGCCCGGGCCCTCCCGGCCCCTACCTGGCTACGCCCATTGATATACTTATACAAAAACTCGAGAAATACGGAATAAAAAGTAAACAGTTTCAGTGGTTCAAAACATACTTAAGTGAAAGAACGCAAAGAACTAAAATAAATAACGCTGTCTCGGAATACTTGAGCGTTGGTATGGGTGGCCCTCAGGGATCGGTTTTAGGTGCACTACTATTCGTCATTTATATAAACGATATGAATAATGTGATAAAAAACTGTAAAGCAGTAATGTATGCCGACGACACATTAATATATGCGTGCGGGGAAATTGCGCAAGAATGTAAAACAAAACTGATGGCGGACATAGATAGTGTAAACAAGTGGTTGTAAATGAATAAACAGATATTAAATGAGCAAAAAACTAAGTTGATGGAAATAAACATTACAAGTGAAGAACAAATAAAAATAAACGATAAAATAATTGAGAAAGTTGACAATATAAAATATCTCGGTGTTTTTATTGATAACAAATTAAAATTCAACAACAACATTGAACACATAGCTAAAAAATTGGGGAAAAAAAGGTTATTTTTTTAAGAATCAGAAGCAAATTGTCAATGATTCTGGTAGTTAAATATACAACATAATAATAGTTGCGTTCGCGTAGCTGTTAATTGTTCATGTTTAACCAAAACTTTCAGGTTTTTCCGTTCGCGTACGCAAAAAACTTGCAAAGTAGGGGAATTTGAGAGAGCAAAGTGACATTTCATTTTGAGGGGAAGCTGCTGGTTTCTGCTGGAAAAACTTTTGCCAACAGCAATTCGCCAACAGGAAAACAGCTGATCAAAAACAGCTGGTTTGAATTTACGCAAATCACAAAATTGAATTTGATGGTTTGGAAGTTAAAAATTACAAAATGCGACTAATTAAACTTGTAAGAAGTAAGTAGTTATTTGTTTAATCAATAAACTGTGTCAGTATACCACTTTGTAATGAGTTTTCGTACGTTTAAAATTTTAAACTATTGAATGTAAACAAAAATTATATCAGCTGTTCGTCTAACTTGCAAGTTTCTGCAAATTTTCTGTTCTCGTACTGTTTTGGATATATTTCTCTTGTGAGAGAACTGGTGACATTTCGCCGGAATTTTGCTGTTGGTTGGTTTTTACTGGAGATTTTAAACGAACGCACCTAATAAAGCCACATTTTGAATACTGCGCAACAACACTACACGCACGTTGCAACAACGCACAAATAGAAAGAGTCCAGAAACTACAAAATAAAGCTAGGAGATGCATACTAAGATGCAGTAAATACACTCCGGTACAATCCATGCTGGAGGCGCTTAGG